TGTATAAGAGACAGTATACAGAGAGAGAGATAATATATGTTTATATGTCATCGTGTCATAACAATTTTTGTTGCAAAATAACAATGATAGATCATAGCCCGTCGGACTTCAGTCTGGTGACGTCAGAGCCTTTATTGTCTTGAGGTTTCATGAGGTACTGTTAATGCGAAAGTTCTATGTCAACGTTTAACGTAAAATGATGTTTAAAATGTAATACATTTTGTTTTTTCCGTGAATTGGCAAGTTACTCACTATTTTTTTTTTAAATATAAAGAAATTAGGACATGATTACTATCAGTATTTATAATTAAAATTAATAAAACAAAATCAAAAATAGGTTTGACATCGAATTACATAATCTATAAGAAGTTCTAGCCACACGACCTTATATGAAGTTCCCAAAAAATTAATCAAACAAGTTTTAATAAGACATCGAATTACCAAATTAGAATGCGCTTTCAGCCGCGACGAACTGGATCCGACGCGCCCCGGCATTCTTAATGGTCTCTATTTGTGGATGGTAATAATGTAGAGGCCTAATGAAAAACTTAGTGAAGAAGAAATAACAAGGCATGTTAGCGGATGGTAAAAATCAATGCCATTATGATATCATCGATTGAAGGATCCTTGCCGTGCATTGGCCGTGCTCGCATGCAAGTGGTTATTATAATATTAGGACTTGTATTCAACAGCTGTCCATATAATGAAATATATTGAAGTTCAGATTTTAAATACTTATGTATCTAGTAATAATCTAACAAATGTCGAGGACGATATACGATAAGCCACTGCGCATGCGAAATTGTTGAAATCCGTATTTATCAAACAGGATGACAAAATTTCCGTGCAATCTTCAGGCTACAGAAAGTTAATTACAATAATATAGTGGATTGATTAACAAATTGAAAATATTTTTATATTTAATTTGTTTTTTGTTTAAACTTACCTGCCACAATTCTAAATAGGTTTTATTAGTTTATGCGAAAATAATGTTATAATGAAAAACATTTATACTGTAGGCCTGTAGATTACATGATATTAAAAGTCGGCATACGAACTGTCAATATTTACTAAATAAATACATGTATCATATCCCGCCCTTTATGTCAACGATTAAAAATAAATTTTCAAAGAAAGTATGTAGGCTTAGGCTTAACGTTAATGTTAATGAACATCATCTTTGTTGACAGTACAAAATGTGCGTCCAAAACGAGACCTGAATAAATGAGTAATACAGTAAAATGATTAAAAAAACAAAGGCAGTGATTGGCGCAATCAACGCTTGCTAAATCAGCACTCACCTATCAAATGCATTGTAAAATAAAACAGTAACATTTTGTCTCGAATTTCAAATGTCTTCACTCAAAATGCTATAAATAATAATAATCGATAAAGTTCAGTTCAAGGCTCTATCGATCGTATTGATTGTATTAACAATATAACGTTGAAGTCACGTTTTTG